ATGAATAACACAGAAACTGTATCTTCATATAGAGTAATCCATTGTTTGTCTTAAAGTTTGTAGTATCCATATAAATCAGAGTACATAATACAAAACTGGTTTTGAACATACTCCTGATTTTGAATTATTTTTTGTAAAATAGGATTTTTTAAATACCTACTTGCTCAAGAAAAGATACATCAAATGCCATGAATGTAGATATTGTAGTCATATTGTAGTGTTGTTGGCATGATCTCAATTGATTTTAAATATCTGAAAAATAAAGGGCATGTGTTCTGACAGGTACGAGCTGTACAGTAAAATTATTATTTTTTCTGTGTTCAAGCTTTTGCTATATTGATATTTTGCTTACATGAGAAATGAAAAAAATTTAGCACTCGATTAGTATAACTTGATAAAGTCAAGAATTAACATATTATATTGCTGGGGGTTGGTAATACTCAGGAAAAGAACTTTTGCAAGTTGAAAATGAAAAAAAAAAAAAAAAAAAAAACAGAGTACTCTCCAGGTTTGGTTATCTGTCAGTACATCATATTTGTTGGCCATCCTTCTAAAGAATTTTCTTTCTCCAAATAATCTTGGAAATATTGTTCAGGTATATTTTGAATGTGTGCTGAATTTCCCTGGGAGTTTAAGCCTGTCATGTGGATGTGGGCTTTGACCTCTATTTGCTTGGATCCATATCATAAAGTAGAAACATTTCGGGCCATATCAATACCCATCAGACAGCTTCCATTGTCCTTGGCTTATTTCCCTAAGTGTAATGATAAGAAATTCAATTGATCAGAAAATAAACCACAAATTACACTACACTAGGTAATTTATAGTCTGACCAATGTTTCTTATAGTGTTCAGCCTTATATAAATATCCTACTAAAATAGAATGTTTCTGATAAGTTAGTTAACCCAATATAGAGGGCTTATATAACTGGGCTTTAAGTGCCTATTTATAACACTATGGTGATATCAGTGATTGGTTTAAATATGGCGATTGATATTATATTTCCAGGTTTATTTTGATTCAGTCATTTAAAATCTCCAGAGAAAAGAGTAATTGGTTTAAATATGGCGATTGATATTATATTTCCAGGTTTATTTTGATTCAGTCATTTAAAATCTCCAGAGAAAAGAGTAATTGGTTTAAATATGGCGATTGATATCATATCTCCAGGTTTATTTTGATTCAGTCATTTAAAATCTCCAGAGAAACATATGTTAGTAAGCAAATATCAAGGGTAAGACAGAGTTGTCTTTCCCTGACAAGAAATGTAGACATCTCTGTATGGGCAGATAAGAATTGTTTGGTACATCTGTGTAATAAGAAGTAGTATTTAAATCATTTAACTCTTCTTGAAGATTACAGTTTCTGTTTTGTTTTATTTGATTCCCAAAAGCACATCATAGATAAAGTTTCATACCAGTTACATCTTAATAATGCTAACCGGATTTCAAATTGTTCTCAGTTCAAACATTTTGTCACAAGCGTTAGATGTACACATTGTACTTAAAGCATTGTCATGTTGTATATAGAATATGCATATAAATATATATTTAAGGTATCAAAATACTAATCATATTTTCATATTCAATGTTTGAAATGTCAGCCATCTTGTGCAATATCCTCTATCTTATCAGCCACTGAAATTATATATGGTATGTTATATTTTTCATTGACCAATCAGATGATATGTTATATTTTGTCATGTGTATATATTAACCTATTAATTGTTTTGTTACATTTGCGTTGAATTTGTTGTTGATTTAGGTATGTGTTTGTATGTGTGATAATGATTGAGATATATGTAAGGATTGCTGGCAGAATACTTCTTATTGATATCAACAGTTCCATTCAAATACATATGTTTTTTTTATTCCAAGGTTCAATTTCTTTCTTTCTTTAAATTAAAAAAAATTAAGCCTGATTCGAATAGTCTTCTTTAGATCTGATTGTTTTTCAGCAAAAAAGAAACATAATGCTACCTGGTGAATACAAATGATATTTCTGAATTAAATATTACTGCTAGGAAACTCTTGTTTGTAACATTTTCTTTTTATGGAAAAAAAACCCCATGCATTTCAAATCAGATGTTGTTACTGCATAAAGATTTTATTATTATTTTTGAAATATCTAACTTTTTTTTAATTTGTTTTATTTTCCCTGTGGGATGGTAGACATCTTTTTCACTACACAAAAACCAATATGATCATTTGACAGAATGAATTTGGTAGATCTCCTGAGGCCTCTGTCTTGATTGGAACATGTACATTTATATGTACATCTAATTTATACCTGTTTCGAGTTAACATAACATGAGGACTTGTGTGAAACAGTGAACATTTCCAGTCCACACTTGCAGTATCATTTGGGAGGGGAAAAAAATGATCTTTTTTTCATGTATGCTGTGAAAAGGTTTGTTTTCTGGTTTTAACAGTGACTTGACCTCTAAGGCAGAGAATCTTGTTATTTTATTTGGTGTACAATGTTTCATTATTTTAATCTTAAAATGTTTGTATGTTCGTTGCACAAGACAATGGTTCATACCATTACAAAAATTGTAGAATCAACGAAGCTAGGTGTTACTTTTAAGTGTTTAACCATAGAATATCAACACTTGTGTGATGATCCAAAGTGCAAAACTTAATGTTTGTAAACATCCGTATGACCAACCTAGGTGTTAAACTGAAAGTTTTAAGTGTTTATAAACATCCGTATGACCAACCTAGGTGTTAAACTGAAAGTTTTAAGTGTTTATAAACATCCGTATGACCAACCTAGGTGTTACACTGAAAGTTTTAAGTGTTTATAAACATCTGTACAACCAACCAAGGTGTTACACTGACAGTTTTAAGTGTTTATAAACATCTGTACAACCAACCAAGGTGTTACACTGACAGTTTTAAGTGTTTATAAACATCTGTATGACCAACCAAGGTGTTACACTGAAAGTTTTAAGTGTTTATAAACATCTGTATGACCAACCAAGGTGTTACACTGAAAGTTTTAAGTGTTTATAAACATCTGTACAACCAACCAAGGTGTTACACTGAAAGTTTTAAGTGTTTATAAACATCTGTACAACCAACCTAGGTGTTACACTGAAAGTTTTAAGTGTTTATAAACATCTGTACAACCAACCAAGGTGTTACACTGAAAGTTTTAAGTGTTTATAAACATCTGTACAACCAACCAAGTGTTAAACTGAAAGTTTTAAGTGTTTATAAACATCTGTACGACCAACCAATGTGTTACACTAAACATCCTAGCCATATTTGTGAACACCTATGCCATAGATAAAAAAATGTTACAATTTTACACAAAGATCATGATTCTAACCTTGTAAATAAACAGCAGACAATTAACAAAATCATGTTATGATAAACATACCTGTCAACTTTTTATATTTGGAATAATTCAAAAAATTGCATTCAGTTGTGTATGTTAATATGTAAGCAAAACCAGTACACAGCATAATACTTTGTTTGGCCTGTATAACTAGTTAGTGGTAAGTAATAATGTTTACTGCATACCACTTGTGTTTTAAAAATTCAGAAAGAACAATTTGGTGTGAAAAGACATAAAAGGTTGACAAGAATGTATATAATTCATTAGCAAATTTATTTCTTATGTAATTTACACAACTATAGATCACTATTGGTGATATTGATTAAAGTCGTAAAATTTTCATTCTGACCATATATGGAAGACTCTATGGTAATTGCTTTCAATGTCTGAAAAAGAAAAAGGTCAATTTTTACACACATAGATCACATTAACCATTTACATAGACTCAAGTCACACTCTGTACATTGATTTGTGTAATATGTTACATTTAATCAAATATTTCAAATCAAAGACATTTTAGAATCCCTAAAAGATGTGGTTTAAGAAGAAAGTCATGGTGATTTCTTCATTTCAATTTATTGTTTGTTTTTCAATTCATTGCACTTTTCTGCTAATGTCATTTGCTACAGAGAAAACATGAAGACAGCATCTCCATTTGTTAGAAATGTTTATAATTATTATAGAATCTCTTAAGCATTCAAGTGTTCAGAACTTTACCACAGAGGGGAGATAACCCCGGAGACAGTGCTACATTACACCTGTTTTTACCATTTCTTTAAAAATGGCCTTGTATTTTCATCAGTTGAGAGTTGTGTAGTCTTTTAACTTTTATTATTTTTATAACTAGACGAAGACCAGGTTTGAGATCACTATGTGACTGACTCGTCATTAGAGTGCTTTGTCTCATTCTCTAAGTTTGTTATATATGTGACTGTTCATCAAAATATCTACACCACTGTTTACATTATTAACCTATTAAAATGACGTAATCTTCAAAATGTTTTATGTCTTTTATCTTACAGTCAACATTAATTATACGGACCAGGGCCTAGTATATTCCACACCGACACGAAAAAAATATTTCCATAACTGACACCTTAATTACAATGTTTTTCATTGTGAGTAGTTTTTCTTTTAATCATAAAGTAAAGTTTGATTTATATACATGTACATACGTGGTATTTTAAATGACAAGCGTGACCGAGTTTACCTGCCATTGAAATATATAGACATATTACAACATGGACAGTTTATACAGTAAAATAACAGTCTTAAGTGACACCAGACATTCTTATTTTTGTTTTTCCCTCGGTATAAGATATCTTATATCAAAAAAATACAACAACTTTTACTTTTGTTCAAGCTGAGCGTTAATGCCTTGGGTGATATGAACAACATGAAGGATCACGTCACGTGATGTGTAGTAAATGTTTTGATTATCTTGCTATATCGATAAACAGAAAAGAGACCATATACCATGCTGTTATTTATCTTATAGATTTATTCCTAGTTTTAACATTGTCGATTTTTTCTGTATTTATTTGTCTCGGTAGAAGTATTTCTTTTACTACGTTATATTCCTGGTTACACGTCCTCTAAACTTTGATTTAGGACAGCACGTATCCACGGAAATACCAAAAGAAAAACAACAATCGAGATGATAAAGTATAAAAAACGAACACTCCCTGTTCTTGGTGGGACCATTCTCATTTTAACTCTCCAGCGACGAAAAGTCAACGCAGAGACTGTATGGTGTGACATTTCTGATCATGATGGCCGCTGCGTAAACATTTCACTTTAGAATTTTGCGTTTTGATACATTGCTAAAAAATTCCAACATTAACCAGACTTGGTATAAAGCTAGATCACATAGTGAAAATCTTAACACATCCACTTATTTTACAAATATATTCTAGATTTTACGGCCCTGTAACTTTGATTTGACCCTCCATATTAGATTACCTGAATTTTGTGCTTGTGTGCATATTTTTGGGACAAAAGCTTCAGATTGAGACGTCATTTCGAAACCCTTGTGGCTCGTTCTATTTATTTAATATTTAGTATATATTCATTTGACAAGTCTTCCTGTCCCTCCTCGGGAAGAGTGATAGTTTTGGGATAAAATACGGTATTTAAATGAATTTTGAGAATTGAAGAATTTACACATTCTTATTCCACGTGTTCGGATCAATACTTAAACACGACATCAGCGTACCTATGGTGTTTACATATCATTTTTAATATCATATTTGTTTAATTTCTTCTTTTTTCTATTTTTTTAAGAGGGCTGCTCATTTATGTATCTGTGTATTCTTTTTTTTTACATTTTGCGTCAGTATGTTATTAAATTCCTGTATTCTGTTGGCTGTTTATATGTTAGACTATTATGCTACTGGAAGCATTGTTTAATGTTAGTTAAAACAGACTTCTGGTATAAAATATTACTGATGTTGATAGCATCCATTTTTTTCAATCTGCACTTTCAGAAATTGGTGCATTGAGGGAGACTCCAGGCTATCCGTTCGAAGAAGTTTAAGTTTTCTTTGTTCCACATCATGAATAATACGAATTCATCTCCTTCGATTGAGTAAATAAAGCTTTTATGTTAGTGTTACTGCATTCGGAACTAGATCAATTTCCTACAGAGTCAACGCAGAAATACACGAGAAATTTTAAGATTATGTACGTTAAACTCAATTGACTGTAAATGCTTATTAAGTTGTGTTTAAAACGTTTCATTTAAAACATGATGTATTTATGAATAACTTCTACAAAAACCTGTATCATATATAAACGCATTACTCCTTTTAATGTGTAAACAAACATTACGTAACATTGGATTTAGAGCGTGTCTGTCACGTGATTTGGACCTTTGGAATATTTAGACACACTAGACACCCGGAGACACGTTTGCGAAAGGTAATGAACAAACACATTCATATTTTTTTCTGTTAATGATGTTTTTCTGCATTATAGGAAACTTTCTAATCATAACCATTTGTAATTGTCGTTACTGTTACGCAAGATAATATATTGTTGATGCATAAATAAGGTTTGCAGGCCGAGCGTGTAATGTTTCATAGCTGCGAATGCAGGTCAAACTCTGGTTGATTGGCCGTTGGGCTGCCTGCAAACTCCAAAGATATCGATGACACTAGCCTAGTGTAAAAGACCAGTAGAATATACTGCACTGAACACCCAATTCAGTACAGTAATTACTATAGGTAAAGGTGCAGTTTGGAAATAGTCATTCAACTGCTGTGCTACTGTGTTATCAATAACTTTTTTTAAAAAACCTGTAACATATATAAACGCATTACTACTTTTGACTGAATGCGTAAACAAACATTACGTAGTTTAGATTATCTAGATACCCGGAGACACGCTTGCTAAACGTAATGAACAAACACATTTTATACTTTTTGCTGTAAATGATGTTTTTTCTAACTTTCTAATCATAAACATTTCTAATTGTCGTTACCTTTACGTAAGTTAACATGTTGTTGATGCATAAACAAGGTTTGTAGGTCGACCCTTGTACTGACTATAGCTTTGTACAAAGGTTTAGTAGAATATAGTACACCAAACACCTAATTCAGAACAATAGTAACGACAGGAAAAGGTAACAATCTAAAAACAGTGAACCAACCTTATGTTTTGTGTTCTGAGGATAAACCGAAAGACACTGTGCTCTAACACATATCGCATGTCATTTTCGGATGAAAGGGACTTCTACATGTCCTCTTACCACCGTTGTACACAGTATTCAGCTTAACGGGTCACTATCTGTTCTCTCTATCTGTCCTCTCAGTCATATTGTACACAGTATTCAGCTTAACGGGTCTCTGTCTGTCCTCTCAGCCATATTGTACACAGTATTCGGCTGAACAGGTCTCTATCTGTCCTCTCAGTCATATTGTTTACAGTTTTCGACTTAACGAGTACCTATCTGTCTTCACACACACACAAAGCATACACTTGTCGGCTTAAAGGGACCTCTGTCTGTCCTCTCACGATTATTGTATACAGGTTTCGACTTAACGAGTACCTATCTGTCCTGCCACAGATAAGGTATACAATTTTCGAGTTAAAGGGGTTGTATTTGTTCTCTCACCAACGTTGTATACAATTTTCGGCTGAATGGGTCTCTATCTGCCCTCTTTTACATACTGTATATAGTTTTCGACTTTCGGTTCTCTCACAGAAATGTCTACAGTTTTTCTCTGAGCGGATCTCTATCTGTCCTCCCACACATTGTATACAGTTTTCGGCTGAATGGTCCCTTATCTGTCAGATTATGTGTACATATTTAGGTTTAAAACGTCTCTATCTGTCCTCTCAGACATATCATATACAGATTTCGGTTTAAAACGTCTCTATCTGTCCTCTCACATTATTGTATACAGTTTTCGGCTGAGCAGATCTCTAAACGTCCTCACACACAGAGATTGCATACAGTTTTCGTCTGAACAGATCTCTAAACGTCCTCACACACAGAGATTGCATACAGTTTTCGTCTGAACCGGTCTCAAACTGTCCTCCAATACAGATTGTATACAGTTTTTGGCTTAACATATCTCTTTCTTTCCTCTTGCACATATTGTTTATAAGATGGTGGTGTACAGACTGAAAAAATCAAATATTTCTAAAGAAGAAATATAAAAAATATTTTTATAGAAGAAATATTTTTATAGAAGATAGCGCTGAAGATAGGTCAAAAGGTCTTGGGAGGCCTTTAACATCCACATACTATTTATTTCATTTTCTGATTAAACAGTATCACAATAAGACTACTCAAATTTGATAGTTAATAGTTCTGACAAAGGTTAGTTTGAACACTCCGGCAATAAAACGTTGTTAATGTGGAATCTTGAGAAGTCAAGGAATCAAATACAAACGGGTGAAGTCTGTGTTCTTATTTTTCTTTATTACTAGCCATTAAACCAGTCGCCTAGCTGTGAGCAAGACGCAATCGATATGGATTCCGAGAAGTACCAAGCCAACCTCTCTAACATCATCGCTGGCGGTTTTGTCACCTCAGCTCTTGTCATTGGGAGGGAGTTGGGTTTATTTGACGCCTTCCGAAAACTTACAAAACCTGCTTCGTGCAAAGAACTGGCCGATCGTTGCGATCTGAAGGAAAGGTAAAAACTAGACAACGTCTTGTTTTATCCTAGGGTTTTATTTCTGTATCTTTATTACTTGAATATGTTCATTTACTGATAAAGTTTGAGGGGCATCCTTGGCATTAAGGAGTTCCGCTAGAGCTAAAACGCGTCCTCTCATTACAGGGAATTTTATCCTCTGAACTCGGGCATATTGGTGTTACAGTATACATAATTTTTATTTAATCAATTTGGTTTTCAATAACCATAAAAGACATATAGATGTTCATTGTTTTTACGATATTATGTTTATGCTGCATTTGCAAACAATCAAATACATGTTGTATATCTTGTTTGAAATTCAATAAACCATACATTATACAGCATAATCCAATATAAACAGTCACAGCAAAATTATGCTCAGGTAATCAGTAAATGTATTTCTAGAACTCACCCGTGGTATTAGAACAAAAGTGTATTACTGTTGACCAATTGGATTAATGGTATGGATTGATAAATAAGTTTGGTCTATGATATACAATTGCTACATTTCAATGAGAAAATAAAATGTTGCCTGGTTGTTTACGACTGGCATTTGACAACCTTCCTTTACACCAATGTGTAGTCTAACTGGTTTTCTAGCTCAGTAATAACAACATATGACCACGACTTCGGAGTTTGAGGTTCAGGAATACCGGAACAGTCGATTCCATCCGATCTCTTTATCCCACTATTTACTCTCACTTTCCCATTAAAATCACTTTTCTCGTCTGTCGAAAGGTCAAAAGGTCGTTACTGCGGACGTACATGTAAAGCCCATCAAATAAATAAACACTTTTGTTTGTTTTTGTACAGAAATTCTAGAAAAAAGACCAATGGATATTGTTTAAAACTTTAACAATCTCCTCACTCCGGTATATGATTAATCGCATGCTTATACAAAGAACTTCTAATCTACACTACATACGTTTGTATCATCAATGGTGTATCGTTGTAGCATCAATGGTGTATCGTTGTAGCACAATGGTGTAACGTTGTATCATCAATGGTGTAGCGTTGTATCATCAATGGTGTATCGTTGTATCATCGGTGGTGTATTGTTGTATCATCAATGGTGTATCGTTGTAGCATCAGTGGTGTATCGTTATATTATCAGTGGTGTATCGTTGTATCATCGATGGTGTATCGTTGTAGCATCAATGGTGTAACGTTGTATCATCAATGGTGTATAGTATCATCAATGGTGTATCGTTGTATCATCAATGGTGTATCGTTGTAGCATCAATGGTGTATCGTTGTAGCATCAATGGTGTAACATTGTAGCATCAATGTTGTATCGTATCATCAATGGTGTATCGTTGTAGCATCAATGGTGTATCGTATCATCAATGGTGTATCGTTGTAGCATCAATGGTGTATCGTATCATCAATGGTGTATCGTTGTGTCATCAATGGTGTATCGTTGTATCATCAATGGTGTATCGTTGTGTCATCAATGGTGTATTGTATCATCAATGGTGTATCGTTGTATCATCAATGGTGTGTCGTATCATCAATGGTGTATCGTATCATCAATGGTGTATCGTTGTGTCATCAAAGGTGTATCGTATCATCAATGGTGTATCATTGTGTCATCAATGGTGTATCGTTGTAGCATCAATGGTGTATCGCTGTGTCATCAATGGTGTATCGTTGTATCATCAATGGTGTATCGTTGTATCATCAATGGTATATCGTTGTGTCATCAATGGTGTATCGTTGTGTCATCAATAGTGTATCGTATCATCAATGGTGTATCGTTGTGTCATCAATGGTGTATTGTATCATCAATGGTGTATCGCTGTGTCATCAATGGTGTATCGTTGTATCATCAATGGTGTATCGTTGTATCATCAATGGTGTATCATTGTGTCATCAATGGTGTATCGTATCATCAATGGTGTATCGTTGTATCATCAATGGTGTATCGTTGTGTCATCACTGGTGTATCGTATCATCAATGGTGTATCGTTGTAGCATCAATGGTGCACGTATCATCAATGGTGTATCGTATCATCAATGGTGTATCGTTGTAGCATCAATGGTGTATCGTTGTGTCATCAATGGTGTATCGTATCATCAATGGTGTATCGCTGTGTCATCAGTGGTGTAACGTTGTATCATCAATGGTGTATCGTTGTAGCATGAATGGTGTATCGCTGTATCATCAATGGTGTATCGTATCATCAATGGTGTAGCGTTGTATCATCAATGGTGTATCGTTGTAGCATCAAGGGTGTATCGTTGTATCATCAGTGGTGTATCGTTGTAGCATGAATGGTGTATCGTATCATCAATGGTGTATCGTTGTGTCATCAGTAGTGTATCGTTGTAGCATCAATGGTGTATCGTTGTAGATATGTACGAGAATGGTTAGGATGCATGGTAGCTAGCAGTATCGTTGCATTAGATGATGCCGACAATTTCTTCATCCCAGACAATTGCAAGCCTCTCCTTGCTAACATAGAGGTTGTTGCTCTCTACCCTGTGGTTAATGAGTTGTTGAAAAAGACGATGGAATGCTTTCGAAAGGATGGTCCATCTGGTAAGTGGTGATATACAAAAATTGTTTGGGTAAACATCTTATCTCACAAATCAAAATTTTATAACCCTCATATCAGTTCCGAGTGTGTATTCCTTAAGCATATTCATATCATCAAATATTATCTGACTGTACCGCAGTTTGACTGATCACAATGAGATGTATAACATAATAACATCTTATTGATGATCTTAAAAAGATACAAGTGAAAAAGCACCGTCAATACAGGTTGAGATGCAGCAGAGCCGAATAATAGATTGAACAGCACCATGCAGCTGTTTCGGCCTTTGACACTTTAGTGATGTTAGTGGCCTCGATGGTTTAAACCGGAAGCGAATAAGAAAAATCCAAATCAGATGGGAATGTGCACTAAACCTAAACTTGTTATAATTTCATAATATTAAATTCTTGATAGTTTCTTGAAGTACTCTGAAACATGCTACAATTTAGATAAATCTAATCATCTCGTGCAGATAAGGCAAAATTGGGATTGTACAAACGACAAACATGTGGCTGTAACGCGGCCTCACCACATTAAAACAACTTGTAGAATGTATCTGATTAGCAAAAAGGAATATCGTTCATAGACTCATCAATATCATATCGACTATCAATCAGACTGCAGCCCTTACCGATTCAGAATATTTTTAATTCAGCCATTTACAGTGATGATTACGAAAAGCTGGCAACGTGCAAACGGTTTCGGCTATCAGGAATTAATTGATCGTCACGAGTGAACACTCCTAGACTAGAGGAGACATAATATGTTTGGTGTGTTAAATAGTATCGGTAATGAAACATCACGTATCTTTCGCAAACAGTTGGAAAAAAACGAAGAAATGTTTAAGATGCACAACTGTAGAGTGATGTAATATACGACTAATTTGTAATAATTGATTTTGTATTTTGAGTCTGGCTTTGGGGATTCCCACTTTACATTATCAATAACTCTTTGATTCTCTGGACAATATTGATCAGTTTGGTACATTAGCTCACCATCTGAGTTATCTTCACAATCCCTTTTAACATCCAAGCAGATCGCCTTGAGAATTTGACAAATATATGCAACTTTAAACCATCATCTGGTCGCCGAATAGTGAACTCTCGTCAACAATTGTTCATGTACACTCTCAATTTGACCAGGAAACAGTTTACAATCGTTGTTTGTGTTAGTAATAAATCTATTTAAATTTAGTGTACATAAAAATTATATTATTGACAAAACATTCTAATAATGTTGCGCGTACTAAATGACCTTTAATCATCGTCTTTATGATTCACTCAGGGATCCAAGTTAAGTTTCACGTTTAAGTTCTTAAATGAATTGTCTATGCATATCTAACTTTTGACGAGCAAAATGTCCCATGAAATTCCTTAGCATTTAACTGAAGTATTTCAATCGGTTTAACACGTTCAATAATTGTTAGAAGCCACCAAGATGAAGCATCAATGAAGTCACATTCCAATTTTTATCTCATCGTGCTTTACGATCATCTTATTTACGATAACTTAACAAAAAAACAATGTTTTCCATGTTTTGTTTTCTTCTATATGCTATCGCATGTTTTGATGAATATTTCCAGATCTCTCATCCAACTGGCAATCTTTATTTGGCACTCATCCTTTTTGAATATCGAACCTAGCAATTAACAGATATAGCAATACGCTGTATCATTTAGTTTATTTTATTTCATGTTGATTTTCTGCGTACATACACTTGTAATAAAGCGATAAGGTTGGTTATTACAGAGTCCTTTATAAAATGATACGAGGGCTGATTGATAAGTTGTGAGTCTTGTATTGAAGAAGTTAAGCTGGGATGCCCTTTTTCAGCTCTGCTATTTCCTGACTTTGTAAGGCTGTGGACCCACAGACTGGTGTCATTTGTCAGTTAATGTCGAAGAGGTAGCACTCTACAGTAAACAAGGCAAGTGACTTTTGCAAAATGAACAGAATTGCTGAAAGATTAGTGATTCAATATTTGTATAAGAAAGGTCTAACACCTAAGGATATCCATACTGATATGGCAGCAACACTAGGGAATGATGCCCCTTATATGCTACAGTGGATAGGTGGGTGGCAGAATTTAAGCGTGGCAGGCAAAGCGTTGGAGATGACGCCCGTCCTGGAAGGCCTGTCACTGTTGCAGCCCCAGAAATGGTAAATAAAGTCAAATATATTGTTATGGCTGACAGGCGAGTCACAGAGAGAGATACATAAGCCAGTACAGTTGTGATTTCACAGACAAGATTGTATTCCTTTCTTACGGAAGATCTTGCAATGAGAAAGCTCTCGACCAATCGGGCACCAAGATTTCTGACATTTAATCAGAAGCACACCAATCAGACTTTGTCGCAGAGGTTTGAGACTTGGATGAAACATGGGTTCATTATTTCACCCCAGAGGCCAAGCAATAGTTAGACCAATGGAAGCACCTCGTTCCTCCCCGCCAAAGAAGGCAAAGACTGTTCCTTTAGCTGGGAAGGTTATGGCCTCGGTTTTCCGGGATGTTGATGGTATTCTGATTATAGATTAACTGCAAAAGGGACAAACAATCAATGACACATATTATGTAACACCTCTTAGGCAGTTAAGAGAAAATATTAAACCAAGCGCCGCGAAAACTCCGTAAAGGTGTACTGTCCACCAGGACAATGCTCCTTTTTACAAGTCTGTCATTGCCCTGGGTCATTAACAATTGTGGCTTTGAATTGATCGAGCATCTATTACCAAAATTGAAACAAATCCATTTCTGGTACCAATTTTGGTCAGATGATGACATCATACATGAAGTGGACGGTCAAGAAAAGGACTTCTTTAAAAGAATCATTGAGGCCCTTAAACATCGCAGGCATAAGTGTATAGATATTGCAAAAGATTATGTTGGAAAAGAATGCATTATATATATCTCAAAACCTATCAATCAGCCCTCGTAGTTTAATACTCCCTATCAACGAATCTTGCTGAAATATTGGCAAACTCGACAGTTTTCTTGGCAAATAAGGCTAAATGATAGTAAAATATTTATTCGCTGGTAATATCACAGGCTTAACCTCAAAATTAAATCTAGCCACAGACCTAAGATTAAAACTGGCCACTGTCCTATTATGTATCATATATATTTTTGGTAGGAGTGATTCAATGCTTGGCTGGTTTCAGATTGGTAAGTGCATAGATGGTTCAAAAGATTTACTTAATAACGGTGTTATCTACCTGTAAACGTATTTCATATAGTAAACCCTATTCTAATTAGTAAGCATATTATATTTAGTAAACAATATTTTAATTAGTAAGCATATTATATTTAGTAAACAATATTTTAATTAGTAAGCATATTGTATTTAGTAAACCCTATTTTAATTAGTAAGCATATCATATTTAGTAAACTCTATTTTAATTAGTAAGCATACTATATTAAGTAAACCCTATTTTAATTAGTCAGCATATCATATTTAGTATAAACCCTATTTTAATTAGTAAGCATATTATATTTAGTAAACCCTATTTTAATTAGTAAGCATATTATATTAAGTATAAACCCTATTTCAATTAGTAAACATATAATATTTAGTAAACCCTATTTTAATTAGTAAGCATATTATATTAAGTAAACCCTATTTTAATTAGTAAGCATATCATATTTAGTAAACCCTATTTTAATTAGTAAGCATATTATATTTAGTAAACCCTATTTTAATTAGTAAGCATACTATATTTAGTAAACCCTATTTTAATTAGTAAGCATATTATATTTTGTATAAACCCTATTTTAATTAGTAAGCATATTATATTTAGTAAACCCTATTTTAATTAGTAAGCATATTAAGTATAAACCCTATTTTAATTAGTAAACATATAATATTTAGTAAACCCTATTTAAATTAGTAAGCATACTATATTATATATAAACCCTTTTTTATATTAGTAAGCATATCATATTTAGTAAATTTTATTATATAATTAGTAATCATATTATATTTAGTAAACCCTATCTTACCTCATTTTTCTAACTTACGATTCTAAAGTTGGTGAATTATTGTTGTTGTATATCTATTGTTGGAATGGAGAATATTTAACTATATGTGTTTTATTGCTCTTATATATACGTTTCTGTGTATTATATATAATTCGATATATATAAATATACATGTAGCATATTCATTCAACATATGTGTTATATAGAATAAATGTTTGTATAATATATACTAGGATACAGATATATATATATATATACGATATGTATTATATATACTGTTTGTTTACTAGGATACAGATATGTATTATATATACTGTTTGTTTACTAGGATACAGGTATGTATTATATAAGTAATTGTTTGTTAACTAGGATACAGATATGTATTATATAAGTAATTGTTTGTTAACTAGGATACAGGTATGTATTATATAAGTAATTGTTTGTTAACTAGGATACAGATATGAAGACATGCCTAAGGAATTGCCGGACGCCATGGATGCAAGGTTGGGTGACGGAGAAGGTGTATTGCAGGCCTTGTTACCTCCGGTGTTAGACATAAAAGGTGATTACTCTATAGTTCAATCTTTAGAAGTTGAGTTGGACATAGTAATTATTGTTAGGAGGTTAGTCAAAGGGAGGCAACAGGGTCAACGTTATAGATATTCGTGGTAAAAAAAATAAAACAGAAAAACACCCCTTGTGTGCGACAGGCAATAAAAGATACGGCGAGTTTGTTTTATTGTAGTTATTGACGAAGTAGAATAAACAATCATTATAAGAACTAGGGTTAAAAACTAATTAAAATGGAACAGTTCCAATTTACAGCGAACATCAAAGTTTTGTTGTTGAAACGTCTCTGGATATGCTAAGCGGTAAAATATAAACCAAGATCTGTTTGATTCAGTTAAATATTTGTCGAAGGCGACACGTTGTTAGCGAATAACAAGTCTTACGACTCTCTGTCGTAAGTGATGTTGCTCTGTCTTAAGTGATATTGCTCTGTCTTAAGTGATATTGCTCTGTCTTAAGTAATGTTGCTCTGTCTTAAGTAATGTTGCTGTGTCTTACGTAATGTTGCTCTGTATTAAGTAATGTTGCTCAGTCTTAAGTTATATTGCTCTGTCTTAAGTAATGTTGCTCAGTCTTAAGTAATGTTGCTCAATCTTAATTAATAATGCTCTGTCTTAAGTAATGTTGCTCAGTCTTAATTAATGTTGCTCTGTCTTAAATGATATTGCTCTGTCTTACGTAACGTTGCTCTGTCTTAAGTAATGTTGCTCAGTCTTAAGTAATGTTGCTCTGTCTTAAGTAATGTTGCTCTGTCTTAAGTTATGTTGCTCTGTCTTAAATGATATTGCTCTGTCTTACGTAACGTTGCTCTGTCTTAAGTTATGTTGCTCAGTCTTAAGTTATGTTGCTCTGTCTTAAGAGTTATGTTGCTCTGCCTTAAGTTATGTTGCTCTGTCTTAAGTAATGTTGCTCAGTCTTAATTAATGTTGCTCTGTCTTAAGTAATGTTGCTCAGTTTTAATTAATGTTGCTCTGTCTTAAGTTATGTTGCTCTGTCTTAAGTAATGTTGCTCTGTCTTAAGTAATGTTGCTCTGTCTTAAGTTATGTTGCTCTGTCTTAAATGATATTGCTCTGTCTTACGTAACGTTGCTCTGTCTTAAGTTATGTTGCTCAGTCTTAAGTTATGTTGCTCTGTCTTAAGTTATGTTGCTCTGTCTTAAGTAATGTTGCTCTGCCTTAAGTTATGTTGCTCTGTCTTAAGTAATGTTGCTCAGTCTTAATTAATTTTGCTCTGTCTTAAGTAATGTTGCTCTGTCTTAAGTTATGTTGCTCTGTCTTAAGTAACGATGTGCTTACGGTAATTTTTAAATCCGTGATTTTGATGTGAATTACCTGTACGCTTGTCCCTTTTAAAATAGGGATGTACGAGTGTCATTCAATCTTTTATTATTATTATTTAAAGAGTTTTAATGCAACTAAAACAGTCGATCGATATTTAAAAGGTTCCGTTAACATTAATCACAGGATTTCCCTTAATTTCTCATAAAAATCAAATTTTGTATCTCACCTATAATTCGTTTTCTATAGAGATGGTCTTACTAGTGAGAGATTATTATTCCATGGTGCTGTTATATCGTGTTTCAGGATCTGCTGTAACAAACATCCTCGACGTAGGTTCAGGAGCGGGAGTGTTGACCAGAGCACTTTGTAAACGTTTCCCTGACTCTGCAGTCTACGGTATCGACTCGTGCGGAGATTCCATTGACAAAGCTAAAGCTAATACAGAAAGTAACATTAATGTTACGTTTGTGAAGGCATCTGTTGACAGCCTGCCCAGCGATTGGACCAATAAATTTGATTGGGTGATTATTTTCGATGTTCTTCACGACCTCCCACGTCCCGAGGAGAGCATGCGCGAGGTATTGCGTGTGATGAAAGACGATGGAGTTATTTCAATATCTGATCCGAACGTACACAGCAACGTTAGAGATAACGTTGGGGATTTCATGATTTCCGGCATAGCTTTGTCTATTAGCTCAGTTATCTGTCTCCCTAGTAGTATGTCGTCAGAGGGCGCTGGCAATGGAATTGGTTGGGGTTTAGAGAACAGACTAAATTTTATAACAAAAGCCGGTTTAAGCGTGAAGGATACTCACACCTTTGGTTTTTCTTGTAATCTTACCTGCGTGAAATCTAATTAAAGACAGTGTAATAATCGAACTCCTTAATCTTAATATCCAGGATGCACGTACCTACACAGCAACGAAGATGTTCATTTGTCAATCACACATGTCTATATCAACTTTTTCTTGTTAAGGTGATGCTTCATTAATTATCCAAGTACTTTGTATAAGTAATAACATCGATATTAATTGTTAGTACCGAGTTGTTGTCTAATTCTATGGTTGTTAGTACCGAGTTGTCTAATTCTATGATTGTTAGTACCGAGTGGTCTAATTCTATGATTGTTAGTACCGAGGTGTCTAATTCTATGATTGTTAGTACCGAGTTGTCTAATTCTATGATTGTTAGTACCGAGTTGTTGTCTAATTCTATGATTGTTAGTACCGAGTGGTCTAATTCTATGATTGTTAGTACCGAGGTGTCTAATTCTATGATTGTTAGTACCGAGTTGTCTAATTCTATGATTGTTAGTACCGAGTTGTTGTCTAATTCTATGGTTGTTAGTGTTGTCTAATTCTATGATTGTTAGTACCGAGTTGTTGTCTAATTCTATGATTGTTAGTAATTCTATGATTGTTGTTGTCTAATTCTATGATTGTTAGTACCGAGTTGTTGTCTAATTCTATGGTTGTTAGTACCGAGTTGTCTAATTCTATGATTGTTAGTACCGAGTTGTTGTCTAATTCTATGATTGTTAGTACCGAGTTGTTGTCTAATTCTATGATTGTTAGTACCGAGTTGTTGTCTAATTCTATGATTGTTAGTACCGAGTTGTCTAATTCTATGATTGTTAGTACCGAGTTGTCTAATTCTATGATTGTTAGTACCGAGTTGTTGTCTAATTCTATGATTGTTAGTACCGAGTTGTCTAATTCTATGATTGTTAGTACCGAGTTGTTGTCTAATTCTATGGTTGTTAGTACCGAGTTGTCTAATACTATGATTGTTAGTACCGAGTTGTTGTCTAATTCTATGATTGTTAGTACCGAGTTGTCTAATTCTATGATTGTTAGTACCGAGTTGTCTAATTCTATGATTGTTAGTACCGAGTTGTTGTCTAATTTTATGGTTGTTAGTACCGAGTTGTCTAATTCTATGATTGTTAGTACCGAGTTGTTGTCTAATTCTATGATTGTTAGTACCGAGTTGTTGTCTAATTCTATGATTGTTAGTACCGAGTTGTTGTCTAATTCTATGATTGTTAGTACCGAGTTGTCTAATTCTATGATTGTTAGTACCGAGTTGTTGTCTAATTCTATGGTTGTTAGTACCGAGTTGTCTAATTCTATGATTGTTAGTACCGAGTTGTTGTCTAATTCTATGGTTGTTAGTACCGAGTTGTCTAATTCTATGATTGTTAGTACCGAGTTGTTGTCTAATTCTATGGTTGTTAGTACCGAGTTGTCTAATTCTATGATTGTTAGTACCGAGGTGTCTAATTCTATGATTGTTAGTACCGAGTTGTTGTCTAATTCTATGATTGTTAGTACCGAGTTGTCTAATTCTATGATTGTTAGTACCGAGGTGTCTAATTCTATGATTGTTAGTACCGAGTTGTTGTCTAATTCTATGATTGTTAGTACCGAGTTGTCTAATTCTATGATTGTTAGTACCGAGTTGTTGTCTAATTCTATGATTGTTAGTACCGAGTTGTTGTCTAATTCTATGATTGTTAGTACCGAGTTGTTGTCTAATTCTATGATTGTTAGTACCGAGTTGTCTAATTCTATGATTGTTAGTACCGAGTTGTCTAATACTATGATTGTTAGTACCGAGTTGTCTAATTCTATGATTGTTAGTACCGAGTTGTTGTCTAATTGTATGATTGTTAGTACCGAGTTGTCTAATTCTATGATTATTAGTACCGAGTTGTCTAATTCTATGATTGTTAGTACCGAGTTGTTGTCTAATTGTATGATTGTTAGTACCGAGTTGTTGTCTAATTCTATGATTGTTAGTACCGAGTTGTTGTCTAATTGTATGATTGTTATACCGAGTTGTCTAATTGTATGATTGTTAGTACCGAGTTGTTGTCTAATTGTATGATTGTTAGTACCGAGTTGTTGTCTAATACTATGATTGTTAGTACCGAGTTGTTGTCTAATTCTATGATTGTTAGTACCGAGTTGTCTAATTCTATGATTGTTAGTACCGAGTTGTTGTCTAATTCTATGATTGTTAGTACCGAGTTGTCTAATTCTATGATTGTTAGTACCGAGTTGTTGTCTAATTCTATGATTGTTAGTACCGAGTTGTTGTCTAATTCTATGATTGTTAGTACCGAGTTGTCTAATACTATGATTGTTAGTACCGAGTTGTTGTCTAATTGTATGATTGTTAGTACCGAGTTGTTGTCTAATTCTATGATTGTTAGTACCGAGTTGTCTAATTCTATGATTGTTAGTACCGAGTTGTTGTCTAATTCTATGATTGTTAGTACCGAGTTGTCTAATTCTATGATTGTTAGTACCGAGTTGTCTAATTCTATGATTGTTAGTACCGAGTTGTTGTCTAATTCTATGATTGTTAGTACCGAGTTGTTGTCTAATACTATGATTGTTAGTACCGAGTTGTTGTCTAATTGTATGATTGTTAGTACCGAGTTGTCTAATTCTATGATTGTTAGTACCGAGTTGTCTAATTCTATAATTGTTAGTACCGAGTTGTTGTCTAATTCTATGATTATTAGTACCGAGTTGTTGTCTGATTGTTAGTACCGAGTTGTTGTCTTATTCTATGATTGTTAGTACCGAGGTGTCTAATTCTATGATTGTTAGTACCGAGTTGTTGTCTAATTCTATGATTGTTAGTACCGAGTTGTTGTCTAATTCTATGATTGTTAGTACCGAGTTGTTGTCTAATTCTATGATTGTTAGTACCGAGTTGTTGTCTAATTCTATGATTGTTAGTACCGAGTTGTTGTCTAATTCTATGATTGTTAGTACCGAGTTGTCTAATTCTATGATTGTTAGTACCGAGTTGTCTAATTCTATGATTGTTAGTACCGAGTTGTTGTCTAATTCTATGATTGTTAGTACCGAGTTGTTGTCTAATTCTATGATTGTTAGTACCGAGTTGTCTAATTCTATGATTGTTAGTACCGAGTTGTCTAATACTATGATTGTTAGTACCGAGTTGTCTAATTCTATGATTGTTAGTACCGAGTTGTTGTCTAATTCTATGATTGTTAGTACCGAGTTGTTGTCTAATTCTATGATTGTTAGTACCGAGTTGTTGTCTAATTCTATGATTGTTAGTACCGAGTTGTTGTCTAATTCTATGATTGTTAGTACCGAGTTGTTGTCTAATTCTATGATTGTTAGTACCGAGTTGTCTAATTCTATGATTGTTAGTACCGAGTTGTTGTCTAATTCTATGATTGTTAGTACCGAGTTGTCTAATTCTATGATTGTTAGTACCGAGTTGTTGTCTAATTCTATGATTGTTAGTACCGAGTTGTCTAATTCTATGGTTGTTAGTACCGAGTTGTTGTCTAATTGTATGATTGTTAGTACCGAGTTGTTGTCTAATTCTATGATTGTTAGTACCGAGTTGTTGTCTAATTCTATGATTGTTAGTACCGAGTGGTCTAATTCTATGATTGTTAGTACCGAGTTGTTGTCTAATTCTATGATTGTTAGTACCGAGTTGTTGTCTAATTCTATGATTGTTAGTACCGAGTTGTTGTCTAATTCTATGATTGTTAGTACCGAGTTGTCTAATACTATGATTGTTAGTACCGAGGTGTCTAATTCTATGATTGTTAGTACCGAGTTGTCTAATTCTATGATTGTTAGTACCGAGTTGTCTAATACTATGATTGTTAGTACCGAGTTGTTGTCTAATACTATGATTGTTAGTACCGAGTTGTTGTCTAATTCTATGATTGTTAGTACCGAGTTGTTGTCTAATTCTATGATTGTTAGTACCGAGTTGTTGTCTAATTCTATGATTGTTAGTACCGAGTTGTTGTCTAATTGTATGATTGTTAGTACCGAGTTGTTGTCTAATTCTATGATTGTTAGTACCGAGTTGTTGTCTAATACTATGATTGTTAGTACCGAGTTGTCTAATTCTATGATTGTTAGTACCGAGGTGTCTAATTCTATGATTGTTAGTACCGAGTTGTCTAATTCTATGATTGTTAGTACCGAGTTGTTGTCTAATTCTATGATTGTTAGTACCGAGTTGTTGTCTAATTCTATGATTGTTAGTACCGAGTTGTTGTCTAATTCTATGATTGTTAGTACCGAGTTGTTGTCTAATTCTATGATTGTTAGTACCGAGTTGTTGTCTAATTCTATGATTATTAGTACCGAGTTGTCTAATTCTATGATTGTTAGTACCGAGTTGTTGTCTAATTCTATGGTTGTTAGTACCGAGTTGTTGTCTAATACTATGATTGTTAGTACCGAGTTGTTGTCTAATTCTATGATTGTTAGTACCGAGTTGTCTAATTCTATGGTTGTTAGTACCGAGTTGTCTAATTCTATGATTGTTAGTACCGAGTTGTTGTCTAATTCTATGATTGTTAGTACCGAGTTGTCTAATTCTATGATTGTTAGTACCGAGTTGTCTAATTCTATGGTTGTTAGTACCGAGTTGTCTAATTCTATGATTGTTAGTACCGAGTTGTCTAATTCTATGATTGTTAGTACCGAGTTGTTGAGATTGTTGTCGAGGTGTCTAATTCTATGATTGTTAGTACCGAGTTGTCTAATTCTATGATTGTTAGTACCGAGTTGTTGTCTAATTCTATGATTGTTAGTACCGAGTTGTTGTCTAATTCTATGGTTGTTAGTACCGAGTTGTCTAATTCTATGATTGTTAGTACCGAGTTGTTGTCTAATTCTATGATTGTTAGTACCGAGTTGTTGTCTAAGTCTAATTCTATGATTGTTAGTACCGAGTTGTTGTCTAATTCTATGATTGTTAGTACCGAGTTGTCTAATTCTATGATTGTTAGTACCGAGTTGTCTAATTCTATGATTGTTAGTACCGAGTTGTCTAATTCTAT